TCTCCCTCTCCCTCCCTCCTTTCCTTCCTTCTCTGTGTCTTTCTCTCCTTCTTTAGAAAATGGAATGGGAGGAGTGAGGGTCTGGAACTCTAGCTTTGGTGCAGGTCTCTGACTTGAAAGGTTGCTTCGCCCTTTCTGTGGTCACAAGTAACCAGGGAGGAAGAGTAAATACACTTTTTTTTTTTTTTTTTAAAGAAAAGGATTGAATTTGGTTTCAGAAAATTCCATTAGCAAAACTTGAGAAGAGGAAGTCAGCCCTCGGCCCCTCCTGCCCCGGAAGGACTGAGTTTCTGTTTGCTGAGAGGCTGCCACAGGTAGCTAAAGGAAGCCAGAGGGGAGCTAAGGTCCTGCTCTGCCCTGACCGGAGAACTCTCTGGGTGGTGACGGGGCATTCTGCGCAGCACAGGACATCCAGTCCACACAGGATGAGTGGAGTTAGGAAAAAAGCAAAAACAAAACAAAGAAAACCCCAGACCAGCTCCTTGCCGGGTTTATAAAGAGCTTAACACTCCTTTTTGCTGCCTTTGGTCTTCCTCTACCGTGGGAGGTGAGCGGCGCCTTCCCCATCTTCACCAGACGGCTGAGGCCGCAGGTCTTGCTGGGTTGAGCCTAGTTGTCTGGCCTCAGCTTCCGCCTAAAGTGCCCTCTGCCAGCTCAGGGGATTGAGGGTCGTTGCTTGTGGGTTGGAGGTCAGATGTAGCCAGAGGCAAATCTCCTGGTCTGCTGGAAGAGTGTGGTGTCCTGTGTCACCTGGGCCCTGTGTCACCAGGGTGTCTCAGTCAGGGCCATTCTGGGTGAACAGTGGGGAATTTCTGGACTGGACTGAGGGTTTTAAACAGCCATGTGGAAAGGGCTTTGCTTTTCTTATTGCACTTCCAAGCTTGGTGTCAGGTTTGTCTCGGTGTGGGAGAGTAAACGCGATTCATACCTGCCAAAGATGGCGTCCACCGACTGACTAGGATGGAGTAGGTAAAGAGCTGTGAAGTTTTTTATATTGTTTCTTCAATTTTGAGGTTTTCTTGAAAAATTACAAGTATTTTGGGAGCAATAGAAATAGGTTGCTAGAAATATTATGTCAACTGAGCTTCCTATGTATTGCTTGAATATTTTCTAACTCATCCTGTGATATCATTCTGAAAGAAACCCAGAACAATGATTTTTTTTTTGGGGGGGGGTACCAGGGATTGAACTCAGGTCCTTGTGCTTGCAAGGCAGGCGGCAGAACCACTGAGCTAAACCCCAGTCTGATTTGTTTTAACTGCTAGATTTTTAGCATTGCATTCACATTTTTATCATATTGCTCAAGTCTCTGTATCCTGGCAATCCCGACATTTTATACCAGTTAAGAGAAATACTTTGCCACTGCTTTCCTCTAAACTGATGCCGCACTCAAGAGGGAGAAACAAACTACGTGCTAAGATCACTGCAAAACTAATAAAAGCCTGCATATAACAATAAGTTAGCAACAGCTGCTCATAAAATTGAGTCAGTGGGTACTGTGCCCTTCGAATTACACTGTAGCTTTTTAAACGAAAGGAACCAATAGGCCAGAGGTATAGTTCTGGCCTTGCCTCAGTTAATTGGCTTGTTTTGAATCATTCTTTGCTCACTTAAAGGGAAAGGTAGAAGTTGTTAGAGAGTCAATAATGCAAATTTCAGTCCAGAAATACAAGGGAATGAGGAGGAATTGGGCTGGGACTTTATGTAATCCTTGTTGGAATTCTCATTTATCAAGTGCTATAAAATATACTTGCACTGTCTTGTTCCAATCAGTGTCTGGACTATTGGAATAGGACATAAGTTGCTGAGAGTCTCTGGGTGCTTCTCTGTAGGGCCGCAACTCAATTCAGCACTGTTCTTCTCTGTTACTGTCATTTAGGAGGGTTGGCTGTTATGCAAACCCATTTTTAAACTCCTTGGAGGTAAATGGTCATGACTACTACTTCTTTAAGGCTTTAGATAGCTGGAACGTGTCACTTACTTCTTCTTCTGTGGGAGTTATGCAAAATTAATAAGAGTTAAAGGAAGAATAAAGCTTGTGGATTTCTCTGTAAGGAGAAATCCCTAAATAGAGATGAAGTCATACTGGGGCACATGGCCTAGACTAGAAGTGAAAACGAGGCCCCTCACTTCTTTCTCTTCTTTACTACTCCTCTTGGGATCTCCCCAAACATGAAATCAAAGTGTCCTAGAGAAACGGGAGATTGAGAAGCACGGCCCCACGGCCAGCCAACCTGAGAAGGGCTCTGGCCTCCACTTGTATTTCTGCTCTGACCCAGATTCTTAGTCCATGGTCAGAGAAAAAGCTTCCATTTACAGGGCAAGAAGGTAATGAGGAAAGACGTCTGGCTTTCCCGTATGGTGCTCTTGTGTGTGTGTGTAGGGATATCAGGGCCTTCCGACCTATTTATAGACAACAGCGAAGTGGAAGAAGGAAAAATGACCACTAGCCAATGGCATGAAAGTGGACATAGGACAGGAGAGAATGGCCAGGTGTTTCTTGGCCTCAGCAGCATGGTTTTATTGTAGACAGCTAAGTTGATTAGAAAATGTTAGAAGACAGCTACGTAGGCCTGGGCCCTCAACACAGAATGCACACTAAAGACTAGAATTCAAGAAAAAAGATGAATTACTCCACCCACAAACTTGCTCCTGGGATGAACAGCAGTGATTGATATTTTAAAAAGGTGTCAGTCCCCCTGGGTGGGGACCTAAACCTCCCTAGCCCATTTCTTCCCCCAAAATCCTTGTTTGTTCCATGTACTTTTGCTATGTAACTGGCTTCCTCGTTTCATCCCCAGTTAATCAATATTACCTAAGCAACTAATCGGCTGACCATAGTTTTGTCCCACCTCATGCCCACCTTGTGATTTTGCAATGGACCAATATTACCTACGCGACTATACTTTTAATCTTAGTTGACTGTAGTTTTGTCCCACCTCGAACCCATCTCAGCGAGTGGTTTTGCTCAGTAAAACACGCTTGAGAAGCAGGGTTGGTGGGCTAACCACTTTCCAGACCCTCTTCTGTCTCTCTTAGACAGAAGCTATCTTTCTTTCCATAAATTCTTCATGCTCTTAAACTCCTTCATTCCTAGAATTCATTCTTTAGCTTTAGAGAACACAAACTTGGCATTTGGGACATCTAGCAGGTTAGGAATTATAATATTTCCCTTATATCATTTGGGGTTTTACAGATCACACGCCCGATATCAGTTTTACCCAAAGGACTTCAGATTCTGAACAATCAAATTAGTAACTCCTGTTTTGAGGCAAGGCTAGTAAAGAAGAGAGCATGAACAACTGTGGGTGGGCATCTCCCTCCCCCAGCAAGTGGCACACATTTCAGGGGCTGATATACGCGCCTCCAGATGGGTTTAACATATACTCGACGTTTTTGGATTTGCTTCAGGTCAGACACCTTGTCAAAAAGAACTTTTTTTTCCTGTCATATAAATTGGGCAAAGTATGATAACAAGGATTTCACGAGCATATAAAATTGGTGTAATTGTAAACGGTTAGGCACCCAGTCCCCAATGTCTAAGCATTTACCATCCATATTTCTAGGGAAAGCCATCAAAGATATTTAAGAAAATATTTGTGGC